TGGCATGGCTCAGGGCACATTCAAATGTGTTGTTGACAAAACCATTTTTGCCCCGAGTGAAAACCAGGCCACAGTGTGAGCACACTGCCTGTGCTGAAGGAGCCTCTGGAGTGGGAGGTTGGAGTTACTTTGTAGTCCTCCTGCAGTGGGCAACCCGAGCACCTCTCTCCCCTCTTGTTACATTTTCCTTCACCTAACCCTTCAACAGTCAGTCAGGGTTCTGATGCCAGACCCGGGGCTGAGGGAACCCGGGGCTGAGGGAACCCTGTGACACACAGCCCCACAGTGGGGCCAGGCAAGACATGAGTACTGACAGGCTAGCACTGCTCACAGGGCTCTCCCACCAGTACCGTTTGTGCAGGAGCAGCTCTTGCTGCCTCAGCAGGCTGCTGGCCACTGTCACTGGGCTTCCCATCGCCTGCAGCCGCCTGCGGAAGACCTCGAAGAGGAAGTGTCCTCCAGCAGTGCCACCCTGCCTCAGCTCCAGCTCAGCAACCATTTCCTGGAAAAGACCACAGGGTGACGGGGTCCTCTCCACGACACTGGGATATGAGACTGCAAGCAGTCGTCTTGGGAAAGTATTCCAAACGTACAAAAATCAACAAAACCAAGCCAGAAATACCCATGCTCATCACGTTGCATGCAGGGCTGAGATGGGTGAGCGAGTATGCACGCATGTGTGTATGGGAGCAAGTGGGTATGCGTGTGCGTGTGCACATGCACAGATGTGCCTGCTTGCAAGCGTGTTTTCGAGGATGAGTACGGGGTGGCTTCAGTGCATCAGCCTTCCTGAACAGTCACAGCCCGTGGCGCTCAGGTTCTCCTGGGCGGGTTCCCAGGACATCACTGTCACCAGTAAGGCCGTGCCAGCCTTGCCGCAGTGTTGCGTGGCCAGTGCTGGGTCACTAACTGGCAGCAATCGGGCGGCAGGCCTGTCCTGCATACGTCCTGACTCCCACCCGCAGCAAGCAGTCCGACTGAGGCAAGAGCACTGTCCTTGCCCTGCATCCCTGGGTCAGGCTGGGTGAAAAGGACTTAACAATCACAGTTTCAGTGGCCACCCTGAGGAAGAGTTCCACCTCCAAAATCTTGGGGCTCTCACGGCCTGCCCCTTCTCAGAGTTGACCTGCACCTGGAGCCACCAAAAGCCAGCAGAAGCCAGCTCGTGTAAACAGAGATGTGGCATGGAGGAGGCTGCACAACTGTGGTTTGGGCTCTGTGGTGTCCTCCATGGATGAGTGCACAGAAACCATGGTCTGAGCTGTCAAAGAGGCCCGAATAAAATAAAATTTTAAAAAAGGAGAAAAGAAACGAAACCCGTGGTCTGGCCTCAGCTTCGTGGGAGCCAGAGTCTTCATTCTGCCAGGCTGGGGGGGCCTTTGTGCACAGTTAATGCATTCAGAGGTGTCTCCACAGGACCCACCACCCACGTGTGGGTTCTCTAGCTCACCTGCAACCTGGAAAGAATATCTGGGTTGACCATTCGGCCTCTCGGGACCAAATCGGGGTTCTCCAGGCGCTCCTGGCCCCGTGAACTAGAGTGAAACACAAGGAAAACTTCCTCGGTGACCTTGCCAAGCTGGGTTTCCAATTCTCCCCTGCCCTCCTGGCACGGGCATAGGCACACCTAGGGGGCCCTAGTGACCACTGTGATTCAAAGGTGCCTCTGGCAAAGGAATCACATAACACAACCGTTTGCCAAACACCAGCGCAGGGAACCCAGACACACGGAGCTTCACACCTTGACCAGGTGGGATTGCAACCAGGTGTGCCAGGGTGGGGCCTCATAAGAAGTCAGTCACTGGCATGTCCTTCCCCTGCAAGGGCAGGGCATAAAGATGTCCTCTCTTGTGCGGGAGGAACATGAAGCCCTAAATGAACTAAAACATGGATCAAAGACCCCAATAGCTCAAATCAAAGCTCCTTCCTAGGTGAAATGGAAGGTCAATCTTCATCACCTGGAAGCTGGCAATGGATTCCTAGAGGTGTCAACCAGACGCACAAGCAACGCCACTAAAATAAAACTAGACTCTGTTTGCAGAGGTCTCCGGTTAACCCACCCCTGCCCTCACCCCCCATTCTCTAGCCCTACACTTCTCCCATCTTGCACCCAACAGTCTAGCACCATTATTTTAGGGCTGTTTCCTCACCCCACCATCTGCCATGTGTCTCTGTTTAACCTTGGACCTCCATGAACACTTCCCTTCTGCTGCAGATGTGAGTGTGGCCCTCTGTGAACATCTGCTCCATCTTCTCGCGATGCCCTATCACAGAAGTCTGACCGTGGCCCTGGGGATCATCCCCAGAGCTGGCCTGATGTGCTCAACCTGTGCCCCAAGTGCTGGCCCAGACTACTGCAGACACACAGATGCTAACCTCTGGCAGTGGTCTATCATCTCCTCGGTCAGGATTCTGCAGGCCACCTCCAGGTCTCCGCCACATCCCCCCTCAGATATGGGCTCAGGCAGGTAGTGTTGGTGGATGGCCCACTGGTGAAAGTCTCGCCTGCACAGAGAACAGGTGTTGGCACCAGCAGACAGGTAAGCACCATGCTTGGAGCAAATGCAAGTGAGATTCAGGGAAGGATGTTACTGGAAGTTTGAGGGGGGCTGGTGAGGCCTCCAGGTCTAGTTCCCACGGTGACCTCTGTAAAAGCACACCTGGGCCACATGGCTGCTGAGGTGGCAGATGGAACCTCAGACCACAGCCCCCTCACCGCCTTCCTAGTCCGAGTCTGGCACATGCACACCCTGAGCACTTACCTTTCCACGTCCGAGAGAATATCTGCTTCCGGCTGAATGCCAAGTTCCAGCTGCAGCCAGTCTCTGTACGTTAACTGAGCAGAAAGGAGCTGTGTCACCTGCGGGCTGGAGCCAACTGTGTCATCGCTCCCAACTCCGGGCAGTGCTGGCCTCCTTACTCTTCCTTACAGTTAGTCGTTGGCAATAAAGCAATGAGAGGTCCCTTTTTTGTGTGAAAGATCAAAACCATCCAGAAAACTGAGAGCCTAGGAAATAGGTGTAGAACTAGAGCAGCCGAGAGGGGCAGCCTACGCCGGTGGTGGCAGTGCTCGAAGAAATGTTGAGGGGACCCTGGCAGGCCTGTGGCTGAGTAACTGGCAAGGGCATTGGTGGTACTACTGAGGGAGTTGGTAGGGATGCCAGTGGGGAATTTGAAGGGATGTGACTGGAAGTATGTGGGGCTGTCCTTGGGCGAGGTGACGGGGACTTTTGCAGAGGTGTTATTGGGGAACCTGGGAATTGGATTCTTGGAGGAGGAGTTGTGAATGTTAGCAGAGCAGTTTGCCGTGTCAAAGGGCGTTGGCGAAGACTCTGGCAGACATGGTGATGGTGACATTGGTAGTTGTGCTTCTGGGGGAGTTCGTGGGGATGCTGGCAGGGATGGTAGCAGTGGGTGTCTCCTGATACTCATCCAAGCTCCCAGGGGTCTGCTCTGAAGTGCGGCAACTCCCAGCCATGGCGTAGAGGCCAGGATCCTCCTGGTGACCCTGATAGCATCCTATCAGTGACTGGAAGTATGTGGGGCTGTCCTTCCAATGTTACAATAACATTGTAATCACCCTTGGAACTTTCTGTAAAATGTCTCTGTTGGTGGCAACAGTACACAGCACAGAGGGTATCTGTAACGTTTCTCACAACCTCACACCTGTCCTAGGACACGTGGAACTCACTCTCCAGGGAAACCCGTGAGTCCAGCAAAGGCCTAAGAGAAAAGGCGCAGCAGGGTATCACCTGAAACTCCCTCTCCTCCAGCAGCTGTCGGAAAGCCCTGTGTCCCCACAGATGGAGGGCGGCTTTGGTCCAGTCCACAGAAGGCAGGCACAGGGGCCTCCAGGGAATGTCACCCAGGACAGAGCAGGGCTCCTGAGCTTCGGGGAATAGTCTCAACACGACAAACTGGAACTGAAGAAGCCAGGTTCTGGGTCAGACTTGCACACCCGCCTCCCTGGACCTTTACCTATTCTGATTCTAGCTGCTTCTTTGCAAAGTTTGCCTTCGCAACAAAACATTCCCAGGCAGGGCTTTGCACATGGATGGACTTGCTCCTTCTTTCCCATCAGGAGATAAGCCACTGCTACACATTGGCTCAGCATATCCGGCAACCTGCTCCTCACTGGCAACGAGCCCGTCAGTACTGACAAGACCGTGTCCTCCAGATGGCTGGCTGTGTGTCGGGCGCAGGGCACTGCTAGACCCTAAAGGGCTGTGTAAGTGCTGTACAGTGCAGCTGGCGGGCAGTGATAAGCTCAGGCCACGACCCCCTGGGGGTCCTGCAGCTGCAGCAAGTCTCCATTCCTGGAGCTCCTGAGTCCCATATGAGACTAGTCACCACAGCGCACCTGTGTGTACCAGGACCCCCAAGAGCCAGGCCAGGTGCTGATGGAATTCATCTGGGAGAGCCTAGGAATCTGCACTTAAAAAGGCTTCTCCATCAGTTCCCATGTAAAGGGAATCAGGAGGCCCTGCTCCTCCTGCCATGTCCCCTCTGAAGCTTCCCACTCGATCACGTGGTCACTCGGCAGGCTACACAGACACAGCTCACGCCTGTCTCTCATGGTCTGGTCCATTCCCATCAGCCCTTGTCCACGGAGACCCACCTTCTTCACGAGCCTGGGGGAGAGTCGCCCGTGCCCAGTGTCAGAGGATGCCGAGGGAGACTTGCACAAGACATAAGCAATGGCCGCCGTACAGAACCTGTGAGAGGAGACACCGCACACGGGCTGCAGGGACTCTGGAATGACGTGGTGAGTGCTAGATGGGCTGTGAACACACGGCCCCAGAGTGAGGAACACAGTGAGGATCAGGTGAGGAGGGACCACTCTTACAGCCCATGTGGAGGGCTCGGTTTGTAGTGCCGAGGAAAGCAGGCTCAGACTCATGTGACACTGAGCCTCACGGCCACCTCACATGTCACTGCTGCATGATTCCTCTGCCCACACCAAGGCCACACTCAGGGACAGGGAGGTGCAGAGTTACAGGGGCAACAGTGGCCACCATGACACTGAGAAAACACTCAATGACATGCATGGGTTTAAAATGGCAAACCAACGGGATTTCATCATTGTAGACACCCACAAATGCACACCCACACCCCCACCAACCCCAGAACCCCAGTGGAGCTTGGGACACCAGGTCTAGATGGACCTACCTCCCACAGAGGAGCAGGGATATCCCGGTCCTGCAGGGAAGCAGCATGTCCAGGAAGGCGGCTATGGAAAGGCCCTGGGCGAAGGCAGGTAGGCCTAGGTCCACATGTGGAAGCACCGGCCCCAACTCACTCAGGTGGACAGACAGCGCGGCCAGCCCCACCACGTGGAGGGCACTCAGGTGGGGTCCCTGGAGAGGACAGAGGGAGCATGCCAGGAGAGGAGGGGTGGGCTAACACCGGACTGGGGCACGCTCCAGGTGGGCCTTGGTGAAACAAACCCCCCACTCACTAGTCCACCTAGGCCATGGACACACCCATGTCCCCATGCCCCAGGGGCAGGCAGCCACAGGACATACCTGATGGAGCAGCAGCTGGCACAGGCGGGTCAGCACAGCAGGCAGGACCGCGCGCCCACACAGCAGCCTTACGAAGAGCTCCGCCCAGGGGCCCTGTCTGGAACAGCGAGCGGTAGGGCTGGTGCCTCGCTCCCTGAGGGATGCTGCAGGACTTGGGTCCATGGATCCCCTGTGCTGCCCAGCCGCCCACATCGTCCCAGAAGCAGGGCAAGCCCCAACCTGAGCAGGACAGGGTGACCCCTGAAATTGCCAGGCGTCTTACCTCTGTGGTGGGGTGGAGCTGGAGGCGGCTGCAAGGCTCTGGCAGAAGCAGGTGAGCAGGAGATCCACGGCCTGGAGGAGACCAGGATGCTGTGGACTGTGGCACTGAGCCCGGGCCAGACCGAAGGGATGGATGCCGGTCGGTCGGGTACCACCGCCCTGAGAGTACCTGAGACTGCGGCCTGGGGTCTTCATAAAAACACGGCCCCTTCTCGAGACACAGTGTCACCCGCAGAGCAACGGTCAACCACGATGTCCACGCGCCCCATGCCCCTGCAAGCGCTCACCACACAGTGACCCCGTGTACCTCCTGCTCTGGCTGCCCAAGCTCTGGGGAGAGGACATCAAGCGGGATCACTGGCACCTCGGCAAGGGTGTCATCGGGCTCCAGGACAGCAAGCAGCCTCTCAGAGACCACGGCGATGTGGGCAGACACAGCTGCGGGTGGCACAGGAGGCACTGAGGCCACGCCGGCTGCAGACAGCCTTTCTCCTGGCCGACGTGGACCCCTCACCCTGAGTTCCCCACAGCCCAGCCTCTCGGAGGGCACAGTGTCCTCATCAACCAGCCTGAGCACACGTGCTCTCCCAATGGAGTGTGGGCACCACCCAGACATCTCTGCACCACAGAGGCCCCAGGCAGGCCACAGACTTGCGGACCTCCTGCCCTGCCCAACCCGCTGTGTCCTCACCAGCCTCCTGCACAGGGTCTGCTACAGCAGCTTGAAACGTCCTCAGGGCCGCCTCCAGTGCACCCAGGGCGCCGGAAGTGCCGGGGTCAGCCTTCTCCATGGGCCCTGTGGAGAAGACACTGTCAGCACAGGCCCTGTGTCCATCACCTGCAGAGCACCACCAATGCCACTGTGCCCTCTGTCCCCGGCCTATGTCACAGCAGAGGACATCCTAGAACAGAGGTCGGCACTCAAGGGGAGCACATGGGCACGGCACAACATGCAAGGCCGGCTGTCTGGGGCACTGAAGTGGGTCCAGAGAGACCACGCCACCTCTCCTGCCCCTCACAGAGACAGACAGGTGCACACCCAGAGGGAGGTGATGGTCAAACCCTCATGAGACCTTCACATCACCAAAGGACAGTCACTTTGGTGCAAGCAGTGAGCGCTCCCCTTGTACAGCAGCAGTTGCCCCTGGGGACTCCACCGGGGCAGGCCGGGCCAGCGGCACAGAAAGGCATGGCTCCGCTCCTGCTCACGGAAGCCTTACGAGGCTGCAGGGAAGACAGATGCCTCCTAAGTCAAAGTCTGGGAGCGGGAAATGTGTGGCAGGAGAGGGCGAGTGCAGGGCACAGGGCTCCGGTGACTGTTGTGGGCACAGGACACACTCAGAGCAGGGCTGTCATCCAGACCTCAGAGCACGGCATGAGACCAGGGCTGATGTGTGAGCGGAAGAGGCAAGCAGCTGAGCCTCCCTCCCGCTGCCTCCACAGCCCACTCGGCCTGTGCAGTGACCCCGTGAATCTGGGAGAGCTAGGAAGAAGGAGCGTCATCCAGCCGGACTGAGGGACTCCCCAGGAGACCAAGTCACCCCATGCCACCAAGGGAGAGACTGTGAGACCCAGTGACCCCAGGTCATGTAGCGAGATGCTTACGGGCCCAGGACCAGGGAGAGCGAATGGGCTCGCCCTCGGGTGACCTTACTTTCTGGTTTCTTCTGGTCAGCAGCAGAACAGGCGTGGCGATAATCCGAGTACAGCGACGGAGGAATTTTATCTGCTCTGCATCAGAAGGAAACAAGTCAGCCCAACTGTGACCCGAATGAATGTTTCGGCTCCCAATCCAGCCACCAGTGAAGAGGTTAAGTGATGTCATACCACATGAGCACAGGCTGGCCTGTTTGGGACACAGATTTAAACAAAGAAGTCAGCACCACGTGGCCCTGCAACTCTGGCTGTGATGTGGCTAGCTCAGAGAGCCAGGCCCACGGGTGGACAGGCATGTGTGGACATACCGCCCATACAAGCAGAACTTCTACCTGTCAGCTGCGCAGGCAGGAGCTTGTGAGCTGTGCCCAGAGGATGGGTTCCAAGCTCAGGCCCAGATCTGCTGTACATTGTGACGTGGAGCCCTGAGATGGGAAAGTGAGGCAAGCGACCTTCCGAGCTAACCCTAACCGACTAGTTCTGAGCCAGTGCTCTATGAAGACATGGTGATGCTTATTCTGCTCACTGTCAAGAAGCCAAGGGCTTCACTGTCAAGAAGTCAAGGTGGCTTCATACCTCTTCAGGGACTCAATGAAGGCTGCACGGGGATCGGGGGTCTTGGGCAGCTGTAAAGAGAGAAAAACAGATGAGGCTCTATAGGGCACGCTCTCCCAAGGGCCACGTACTTGATCGGCAGCATACTGACCACACGTGGCCTGAGCAGGGCAGGGAGGAAGTAGGTCAGGTAGTAGGGCCTCCTGAAGATGCTGTAACAGAGGAGCCGGTGGTCAGACAAGCAAGGGCGCCACGAGTAGCACTCCACGTGTAAGGTTGTCTGCAACCCCAGAAGCCGTCCCCTCTGCACTCAGCAGGCCCACAGTTGGCCCCATGTCAGGTCACTGTAAGGCTTCCCCTGGAGCCGATTACCATTTCCGGGGATGGCCAGCAGTCCAAGTCCTCTGCACCATGGTCTTCAGAGGTTGTCCCACACAGACCAACCAGGTCCAAGGTGTTTGGGGACCAAACCAAGTTCATGGAAATCTGACTAGTCAGCCCCCACTCCCCAGGCTCCCACTGTCCTATACAGCAGGGTCAGGCTCCACTGCTGCCCCACGGGCGCCTGTGCTAGGCAGGCCCACAACCCAGTTCACAGCCTCCCCAGGAGAGCTCCTAACCAAACCCCGGCCTCGCTGGCTATGCTCAGCACGTGGGCCCCTGCAGCTGCGTGCAGGCTCGCGCCCACCTGGCCTCCATCACCGTGGTCGGGATCCTTCCCGAGTGCTCGAACACCTCCAGGGCCTTCTCTACATCCTGGAGCGCCTGCCTGTGGGGCTGCCGGGGGCAGGAAGGGCGGATGAGCATAGTGCAGCAGCAGGCCAGTGTCCACAGTGCCCTGAAGGCAGTGAGGCCCGGACAAAGGACGGGGTTCTCCCACTCTCCCTGCCCTCCGAAACCCGGAGGCAGCCTGCCCTTCGAGGCCACTGGCAAGGGCTCTAGGCCGCTTCCTCTGCCACCTCTGGTCCTGCCAGCAGAACTCCCTTCCACCTCCATCTGCTCCCTAAGAGCAGGATCGGCAGGAAGGAAAGAGACCAAGCTGTTGTAAAACAACAACAACAACAACAACGTGGTTATGCCAAATCGCTTTCTTTCTGAGCCACACCACCCCTGGAGATGACAGGTCTGAGCTGGGGCCACCCCTGGGGGGGGGCGGGCGGTGTGCCTGGGGAAGCCATGTCAGCACTTCCTGCCAATGATGACTGCCATGTGGGCTATCGCACATCTGCGCAGGGCCCCGGGCACCCCTCCCATCACCAGGGGTGCAGGCTCACCTGAGCGGGGTCCCCTGACGACAGGTCCTCGTAGAGCCCCATGTCCTCGATGGAAACCTTGGAGGACACAGGAGGGTGAGCACAGAGCAACGTCGACGTGACGGGCATGTCTGTTGACCAAGGTTCAGGCGGCTGACTTGCCTTGAGGTCGGCTAGCCGAGTGCGGGCTAACGTGACGTAGTCTGAGAGCAGGGGGCGCAGGCGTTCAGGGACCAGGGGCGGGTGGAGCACATGCACCTAAGGGGGGAGGCGCCCAGTGAGCCAGAATGTGTGCACACTGTCCACGGGGCTGGTAACACTGAAACCACAGCCACACAGACAGCGGGAGCCTCACAGAGACGAGGGCAGAGGAGGGAGCAACTCCATCCAGGAGAAAGGTGCCAGGGCCACTGCCAAGTGTCTGAGCCTGGACAGATAGATGGACAGCGGGATCTACTAGGAGCACACGAGGGTGGCGGGCTGGGTGCTGGGCTACATCTGACCCACTTAGCTTCTTGCACATAGAACACCGTGTCCCTAACAAAGCTGGGTGATGCCTGCCCACAGGCACCAGAATGCCCGGGAACCAGGCAAGGTGTCCCATGGACAGCCACCTGGCCTGTCAGAGTGGCTATGCCCCACTGGCAGCGGAAGGGAAGCGTGGTGGCCCTCACCTTCAGGTACTGGGGACCCTCAAAGGGCACAAGGTCTGACAGGAACGTGAAGAGGAAGACCAGCGCCTTCTTGCTGCGCCTGTGGGGGCCTCGGGCACTGCCAAACGTGGCCTGGAGGGGACATAGGCGGGAACTTGGCAGTGATGCTCCAACCTCGGTGGTTACAAATGGGAACAGCTACTCAGATGCAAAATTGACCAAAAAAGGATGATGTCTGCAGCCAAGGAAGCCGGACAGCCGGGACCTCCCGAGGCCTCTCTAACTCCACACACAGCACAGCCCTCTGCAGAGACCACAGCTCCGCACGGAGGGAGGAGGGCCGGCTCCAGGGACCTCGGTGCTGCCCCAAACAGAGCCCAGGCAGGCCCCACAGGTGCTTAGCTGGCAAGGGGAGGAAGCTGCAAGGCCATTGCCCTGCTTTCCTTGGGCACCGGCATAGGGCCCCTCCGGGCTTCTGCACCAGCACCGAGCTCCACCTTCTGGAAGGGGTGTGTGGACACGGGGCAGCAGAGGCAGGGATTCTAAAAGGAAAAGGCAGAGACACGGGACTGGGCGTGTCCTCCAGTCCCATGGCCAGACCGCCCATCATAGGCCCCTGGTCAGATGCTGCTGACAGGAGCTCTGCCACAGGAGATAATCCCAAGGGTGCTGGCAGCAGGCCTGAAGAGCTGACACTAGGACCCCTGAAGTGGTCCTCCTCTCCTGTGGTCCCTCTCCCCTGGAGGCGCCCCTATCACATGGCCCCATGCAGTCCTGCCGCTCCCTGTGTCAGAGGGGGCAGCCTGGCGCTCAGCACCCACCTTGAACCAGTCTGCGTATGGCGGGAAGAAGACAGGGCCCTCAAGCGCAGCCTGGCGCTCGATCAGGAAGGCAGGGACCAAGCTTTCCGGGTCGAAGTTCTCAAATGCGCGGGCCACCAGGCGGGCCACCCAGTCTAGAGAGAAGCAGCACAGTCACCAAGGCCCAGGGTCTAGTGGGGAGAAGTCACAGCACTGGACACAATGAGGGTACCAACAGCTGCCACATGGCACTGCTTAGGTAGCTGCTGGGAGAGATGACCGTCCCAGCGACTATCATGGACCTGGTCCCAGGTGAGTGCCAAGTGGGCCGTGGGGGCCTCTGCACTAGCAGCCCCCCTCAGCTGCAAGGCTCCCAGTACGCTAGCTGCCGAGACCACTCTCATGCCACAGCAACTGGCCACGAGGTTCCGTGTTTGGTGATAGGGGAACCCAAGTCACAGCCCCACTGACACCCACCTCCAACCAGCTGCCTCGCCTCCGGGAGGCAGACGACCAGAGTGGACACACAGGATAGCACAAGCCGCCAGTTCACCTCACGCGTGTCCAGAACCTCTTGCATATGGCCCAGGAACTCCTCAGGGCTCAGTAGCACGATGAGCTGAAACAGAACCCCACCCCCTACATCAGCCTAGGTTCGCTGCCCACCCCCTTAACATCAAGAGTGTGGCTCCCCCCATCCCCGCTGAGTGTCAGTGCGTGGCTTGTCCTCCAGCCCCTCTAACATCCCCAACCTAACGCTGTCATAGCGTGGCTTGTCAGAGTCCTGACTATCAGCGTAGGTTCCCCTCCACCTCGTCCTTAGCATCAGAGCAGGCTCGCCCCCCACCCCCACCCCCAGCCCCTCAAAAAGGCACCGAGGCTTCAGCACTTCCACCGCTCCCTGCACATGAAAGCAGGTGCGTGCCAGGTGCCAACAATCCCTACATGATCTGACAAGGTCTGACCAGGGCATGGGCCGCAAGCCTAAAACCCCACCACCTGCGTGAGGCAGCGAGTGGTACGGACGCTCAGCACACACCTTTTGGTACAGCCCAGTGAGTAGAGGCGGGGTCCTTGCAAAGCTCCATTCTCTCTGCATCTGTACAGCATCAGATGCTGCATTCGACAGAGACCACAGTTAGGATGCATCTAATTGCCAATGTCAGAAATAACCTCGCATCGCTGTTTCCTTCAGTGAGGCTGACCTTTCCTGTCTGGCACCATTAAAGTCTGCTGCGGCCTGGGGCACACCACGAGCCTGGGACACGCAAGCCTGGGGGGCGGAGAGCCCACTGCAGTCAAGTCTACATGAGGACACGTCACAGCCCGTCTACATGGGAAGGACACACCACAGCTGACTGCATCCTTGGCCACATGAGAAGGACACACCATGGCCCCATGGCTACGTTTAAGGGACATACCACAGCTCATGATTGTGGGCAGAGTAGGCCAGAGCCCTGTGTTTATACGGGAAGCTTGGAGGCAGTTAGGGAACCACCACTCCCACACTCAGCACACTCAAACAGGTCGCAGCTGCACAAGACGCTTACACAACAGGTCAGGGACCCAGCCGTGGCCTCTGCAGTTTGATGTGTCCTGACACACCTGCAGTGCGTTCCATGTCAGTGGAGTTAGGTGGCCATACCTCTCTGGACCCGGCTATAGTCCAGATCTCCTCTCTGAGCGGATGGGATAACTCCCTCTGAGCTGCTAAGAGCACTCCCTCTGAAAAGTCATTCCCTGGGGGGCCATGGCAACTACACACACACATGATCAGCCCCCCCTACACAGAAGCAGTCTGGTGACCAGAGCACCAGGGTCAGGCCCAGGGTCCATGGTGCACCAGCCATGAGCATGCCACCAAGGTCACTGCGTCCCTATTCCCAGCAGGTACCCACCTTTCAGCACAGGGCTGTGGGTGAGTATCTGTGTCAGGGCATGGGTAAAAAATCTCTTTGGTGCATCCATTGTGATTATACTGCAGTACATCTGCCCGCTGAACATGTTGAGCCTGAAAATGTGGGAGGGGGTTCAGTGTGAGGAAAAGGATTTCTCTTAAGTTGTCTCCCCAAAATATATGCCAGACTTAGCTTGAGAATGACTGTTCATTAGGCAGCTAAAATAGGTCAGAGGTTATTCTCCTTAACATCAGCCATCTAGAGCGGCCAGACTGCATAGTCTGACTTGCCCCAAATAGGGCCTATTCCTTTGTTATTGTTCCCTTGAAGCAGTGCCCAAAGGCAAGCCTGGGACCACTCTAAGATGACTAGGTCATCCCCCTCCTATTGCTTGTATTGCCTATGTTGCAATCCCTCCCTATGACGCAGGTTGTTGTGAATTGTATTGCCCCTCTCTGTGATGCATGATGCTGTGATTTATCCCCCTAAAGTGATATGATGTGTGGTTAGCAATAAGTAAGGAGGCTCCCTGGTGGTCAGGAGGGGCTGCTCCCATGGAGGTGGCCGGCCGAGGGTGGCTGGCAAAGGGCAGCTGAGGAAGGAGGGCTGCTTCCCGTGGGGGGCTGCTCCCATGAAGGCGGTGGATGAGAGGGCAGCTCCCGCGAGGGAGGCGGCTCCTGCTCTGGCAGCTGGGTTCCCCCCACGAGGACCACCGAGGACCACCAAGCGGGGCGGAGGTGAGCAATGCTATCATGTAATATGTCTGACTGTATTACTGTATTATCTCTCATGCTCTCGATGACTTTAATATAATACTTATATATCTCAACCGTACAATTGTGCATTACTGAACCCATGGGTAGTATTATCAGAGGGTGGGGGCTGGCCCTCCACTCCCCCGTGTCATTTTTAATTTAATACTACAGCTCAGGAGGAGCCGTAGCGGCTGCCCCCCCACCCCATGTCAAAAGCGAACCAGCACTGATGAGAACTGCCCCTTCATCTGAGGGCGTACAGCCAGTACAGCACAGCCTACAGCCCTGGGAGACCCCCTGGCCTCCTCCTTTAAAGCCTGGACAGGCTCTCTGACCACATCTTCAGCCCCTGACAAGAGGGAGCCAAGGCTCAGGTTCATCTAGAAAAGAAGCCAAGATGACAGAGGACCAGTGGAGCAGAGAGGGAGGGCTGGGCCGCCCACCACAAAGGATGGGGCCCCTGAGGGAGAGCCCACACACAGGCCAGGCCCCTGAGGGGCAAGCCCCCAAGGGACAGGTGGTACACAGGCCAGGCCTCCTGAAAGCCACACACCTCCCACAGGGTGGGCTCCAAGAACGCTACAGCTCCCAGATCAAGGGAGGCTGACCATGCAGACCGCCGGGCAGTCTGTCAAAGCTGGCGACTCATTGCAGCACTGGCAGGTCACTGCCCAATGGTTGGCTGAGGTGAGACTTTGGGGCCCGATGGCAGCAGGGAAGGAAAGAGAGAGGAGACCGGGACACGCAGGTGGGGCAAGGGGTCAGGCCCAGCAGACAAAAGAAAACCCCAGGAGGCTGAACTGCCCCTACTCACCCCAGCAGCAGAGCTCAGGTTCAGCACCCACCGCTGGAAAGACCCTCATTGCTCACAGCCACTCACCAGCACTGCGCGGCCCCGGGCACTGCAGGTCCCTCCTGCTCACTGGCAGCCAGGGCTTCAAGGACACCTGGAGCAAAAAGACCAAAGTCAGCTCCAAGAGCTGCAGGACAGCCCACGGGAGGTGTGCTCTGCAGCGGGGCTGTCAGTGCCTGTGGGTCTGGACAATGGGAGGCTACTGTCCTTGGTCCTCTGGCTACTATCAGTGATAGCCCTGGGCTGAGCACACTACATGACACAAGGACCCCCCCCAACAGGCACCATGCTGACCACACTCAGCCCTGAGCAGGCACCACGTCTACAGCCACCGGCCACGGGGTGGCTCTGCTGTCTCACCCACAAGCACTTGCCCTAAAACCAACCCCAGACCTCTGGCTCCTCCTCTAAAGTGCATGGTTCTCTTTGTTCTCCCAGCCTGGGTGGAGAGGCTTACGGGGAAGGGGCTATAGTTGGGGAGAGGAAGATAAAGAGTAGGTAGATTTTTCCAGAATAACACCTGACCCTTGCAGCTTTTCGGGGGGCAGGGGCAACACCAGGTCAGGTGTGGAGAGAATGAAGCAACCTCAGGAGCTCACTGAACGTCTGTTCCCTGGGGGAGGGCGGACCAGAGACTCCATGGTGAGAACAGCTCTGCACCTGATCTGAGCCCAACGGCTGAGAAGCGAGGGCATGAAGGCACATGTTCTCTCAGAGATCCACACGTGGCACGAAGAACAAGTGCCTACAGTTACTACAGGGCCCGGTTTTAGGGCGTCAGAGGCAAACTAGATGTTTCCAGAACCCCAGGTCACCTGGCCTCATGCCTTCGACAGCCCCTCAGGAAACCCTGGGCCCAGGAGCTGAGGCAGAAGGGAGAGTGGAGGGGAGTCCCCCTAACAGCCCCCAGAAAGGGACCCAGCATGGGACACTCCAAGGAGGAGGGCACAGGAGGTATGGGGCTCAGCCTCAGTGTGGTGCAGACACTCACAGTCCAGCAGGCTCTGCAGGATCTCAGAGGCGACCTGTGGAGACACGGGCACGTCACTGAGCAGCACACAGGCAGTCTCCGAGTGCAGGGGACAAAGCGGCTGTAGGGCGCCAGGTGTCCACAGGCTGAGCGAGCCTGAGAGCCCCCTACTACCTGAGGCAGCTTCTCCTGCTCCACAGTTCTCCTCCCTTCCGCAGGGTCCTGAAATCCCCTCAAAACCAGCATCTGCAAGAAGTCTGAAAACAGCAACATGCAACGGTTCACACACAGCTGTATCCACACATCTGTATGAGGCAGAGACCTCTGAGGGTGACCCCTGCATACGAGTGGTCCATAGCTTCGGGGGCAGGGCGAGTGGGGGAAGATGTGGACAAGGCTGCTCCACCAGTAAAACCAGACAATCCAATCACAGTATCTACCCAGATTCTCTTCTAGGGTCCCATTTGAGGCAGAAACACCCACAATAATTCAAGTTTAAGGATTTTTTTAAAAGCACATGAACTGCCATCCATTTCCAAGAGTTGTTGCAGGCACTTTTGCTGCCAATCTCTAAAGTCCACTGCCCTTTTTGTAGGCTCGGGGCCCATTCTGGGGAGACAGCTGACACTCACACCTTTCAAAATGATCACAGTCCCAAGGGACTGGAGTAAAAAAGACAGACAGAATGAGTACAGTGCACCCAGAGTGACAAACTGCTAGGCCTTTTAGTGAATCCACTGTTTTCTAGCTTTTTTTTTTCTTTTTGATTCAAAGATTTCCTAAAGGCAAAGATTTTTAAGCTATCTGGGACCAGGTTACAGGAGCGGTAAGGGTCAGAAGCAGTCAGGACCACCACCAAGATTTTGAGGAAAAGGCTCTGCTAGGGTTGTATCTTTTGTGGTTCCCGGCCCGTGTGAACAGGCCTCCTCTCATGACTCACTGATGAGGATATTTTGGGTCCAGCACACGGGCACAGGTGGCGTCCAATGATTGGAGCCCCATCATGCCACCCATCCATCATAGCCCCCAGGACCTGATGGATCCCGCTGGCCATGAGCAGACAACCCTGCCTCCCCCAGGCTGAGCCTGCACTCACCAGCGAGCACTGCCCTGGTGACATTCACATCGACGGATGGGCTCGCCGCTTCCACCTGCTCACACAGAAGGCCCAGGCTCCTGCACAGCCAGACCACCAGGACCTGCACGTCTGAGTGCCTGGAGACACACGGCATTTCAACCCTCACTTCACTGGGACAGGTGGCCTATGGGTGTGCACTGGCAGCTGCCCACAACTCAGGCACCAAGGACTTCCCACAGGGCTGGCGGACACAAGGGCCTCCAGGTCCTGCTGAGCGGTCCACCCCTGTGCACCCTGCACCCCTCACTTCTCATGGGCTTCTACCCTAAAGAGCAGACACGGGTTGAAAAGACGAATCTTTCCCCATTGGTCTTGATGCTTGTGGACCATCTAAATGGCCACAAGCGTGGTGATTCTTCTGCAGCTCTCTCAACTCTAGCTCATGAATCTGTAGTTATCCTTAGGCCTGCGTCAGTCTTGATAGCTATAGCCCTAGAGAAAGGGTGGAGATGGACGGGAACAACCCCTCCCCCCACCCGACTTTGCCTTCTCTTCACGGTTGTTCCCGTATTCCAGGTCCCTTGAGTGTCCATGTTAATGTCTACAAAAAAGCCCCATCAGATTTTAATAGAGATTGCTTGCCATGTGCAGATCGATCTCAGCAGGACAGTCACCTTAAAATGATATTTTCACTTATAACACACGAGACTAACACTGTAGCACAAGTAGGAAACTAACACACAAAGGGGCTGCAGTTTGCAACACGTCCATTACAGAGCTGCAGCACAGAAATGCGGTAAGTCTTCCAGTCTGTGAACACAGGTGTCTGCCCGCCTCTTGCAGTTGACTAAATTATTTGTTGTGCAGTTTTACTGTACAAGACAGTACTGCACTTCTTTAATTTATTCTTTTCAAGGGAAATGATCCCAGAGGATGTGTATTATGCCGCTGTTGGGTGGAGTATTCTAAAACTTCAGTAAGTGCCATTGGCTTGTAGGGTCATTTATAACCTTGTGGATCTTCTGTCTCGTTATAAAGATCACTGATCACGTGGTGCTGAAACCTCCAACTATGATTGCATTTCTCCTTTAAGTTCTGTCGGTTTCAGCTTTATATATTTAGGTGTTTTGATATTAGGTGTATATATATTAGAAAACATGTTTTTAATTTAGTTATATTGATTAATCTTCCTTAGAATCTTCTGAGTTTTGTCACATAGGCTTCCCCACTTCAAGACTATAAAAGTATTTTCCTATTGTTTCTTCTAGTATTTTAATAGACGCATCCCTGTCCCACCTTTTATTCTGATTTACCTAGGATCTAAGCTATGGGTAGGGGTGAGGGGTGGGCTTGCTCCTGACTGTCTAGAAAATCCAAGGTTCCAAATGATTCTTTAGTGTATTTTCCATCAATTCTTTAGTCACTCGCCCCTCCACCTCCACCTCCAGAGCCCAGTGCCTTCAATTCCAGAGCACCGTAGCAGTAGAGAGTAGAAAGGGTTGCTTTCCTTCTCTGCACCCTGCTGCATGAAGGTGTTCACCAGTGGTCCACCTGCTTCCGACCTCCAAAACTCTGTTTTTGTTCTCTTCGCCTGTCACTTCCTATCTTTAGGAAGTTCTGCCTTTTTGAAGGAAAAAAAAAAAAAAAGTTCTGCCTTTTTGAAAAATCTCTTTCCTGACTCTTAATCAAACTTCAGGAAAGAATAAAAGATGCTCCATCATCCATATTTACCTGAGTGTCTCTTTAGTTCTTTAAAATATCTTTATCACAAGAGCTGTACCAAGAAAACATTCACATGTATGCATGATCAGACACACTGCCATCAGGCCCGCTCCACCTCAGAGCAACTCTATAGGACAGAGCATAAAGCTGCTCGGCAGGGTTTTCAAGACTATCGATCTTGACAAGAACAGACAGCCTCACCTTTCTCCTTCAGAGAAGCTGGTAAGTCTGAACCACCAACACTGCGGTTAGCAGCCCAATGTAGGAGCCCCTGTGCCATTACAGCACAAGGAGTTTAATTCCCAGTCTCTTTAAATAATAAAATAATGTCCTTTTTTAAGTTGATTGTTGGCTTTGGAATATAAATAATTCACACTGGACTAGGTGGCAAAAAATAAGCCACTGTAATATTTAAGTGACACTAAAGCATCGTAGTACATTACCTTTCCAGCAGCTCTTGCAGGCTCACAATATTCTGTTTATGAAGATGCCACACAGCTTCCAGCACCAGAGAATCCTGCAGAGTTACAGTTCCATCAGCCCTTTACATGCAGGCTTGTCTCCAAGATGCTCAACCTGGGTGTCCATCACTATGCTAGACTGAAACTTAAATGGGAGTAACCAGCACATGTGTAGAATACGGTTCATCTACTATAGCTTTTGGATTCACCCAGCACCAGATACGTCCTAATAGCTTTCTTTTAGTTCTCTTCTCCGCCCTCACCAGGCCAGGGATGCTTCTGGCCCCACCCTAGTTTAGCCCACACTATGGCCAACACAGTATTTACAAACCAAACGGAACTGCATTTATTTGGCCCCTTCAGAATCCTTCAGCAGCTCCTCACAGCTTTCAGGATAGAGTCCAAGCGCTTCAGCTTGGCACACATGCCTTCACGATCTGGCCTCTTTCTCCAGGCTTATCCTGCCCAGAGGACAACTCTCTGTCCTTGGGCACTGACGCACCTGTTGGAAACCCTCTGATCTGTCAGAATGGGCTGCTCCCAGGGGCCACGGGGTTTTCTTTGCTCCACCCAGCTAACACCTACACGTCCCTTAAAACCTGAGCAGCTTCAAAGTCTTCCAGGAAGGCTTCTTAACCATCTAGTCAGATGCAGGTGTCTGCTCTTTGTACATCTGTGTCATCTCAGGTATGTACAGCTAGTTGCCCGTTTTCCCAAGTAGTAAGCAGAAAGTGCAGGGCCCACACCACTGCCCCAGGAACCAAAAAACTCTGTAATATATGGTGCATAAAAGACTAGGGGAAACCCCACAGGACAACACCTTAGTTTCTTCTTCCCTTTTCCTATGTACTTGCTAAACTGACTCACTACCACAAAGTGGTTACTTTGAGTTCTTTCAACCCTTCAGAAATTTATAAACCTACTGAATTCAAAATGTTCAAAGAGAGATCAGATACATAATTTTAAATATATAATTTCCTATAGAAAGAGCCCTGTTGGCACTGTGGACTATTCACTGAACCGCTACCAAAAAAACAAAAACCTGTCATTGAGTCAATACCGACTCATAATGACCTTTTAGGACAGAGTAGAACTGCCCTTGCTGCCTTTCCGAGATTGTAACTGTTCATGGTAGAGGGAAGCCCCGTCTTTCTCCCAAAGAGAGACTGGTGGTTTTGAACTGTTGACTTTGAGGATCACAGCCTAATGAGTAACCACTACACCACCAGGATTCCTCTGCTAACCACAAGGTTAATAGTTCAAACCCACCAGCTGCTCCTCGAGCGAAAGACGAGGCTGCCTACTCCCATAAAGCTTTAAAGTCTCGGAAACCCAAAGGGTAAGTTCTTCCCTACCCTATAGGGTTGCTAAGAGTAAGGACTGACTGACTGGCAGTAAGAATTTACTATACTGCCCTGGAGAATAGTAACATACCTCATAGTAACAACTGTGAAGGTTGAGCACCACATTTTTTTTTTTTTAACAATAGTCAGACACTTTAATAACTCATTCCAATAATCCATATAAGAACTAAACTTCAGTTGAACAAGCAAACAGAACACTTGAGCAATATTATAAATTAGACCTAACAGATATCGATAGACTATTTCACCTACTAATGCTAGGATTTTTTTTTCAAGGGCATATGAAGCATTCTCCAATGTGAACTCTATGAGACACATAAAATAATTCTAAGTACATTGTAAAGGACTGATATTAATGCACCTGTAACTAACACCTGCTCCTCCAAACTAAAACTCTGTGCCCCTGGGAGGTAAGCAAAGATTCGGTGCTAATCTGTCCTTTCAGGAGAAAGCTTCATATGTCAAAACGCTGACTATAGCGCCTTGTAATGTGGTGTAAGGCAGAGCCTCTGTGATGGATAGCATTGTCAAAGATGGCTTCATTTGTTTTCCCTGAACCTATTTTATTCCCAAATTTAAATGCATTATAATTATTTAGGAGAGCCCCCTTTGGAGGCGATTTTTTCCCCTATTAGTCTTTTTTTTAATGTAAGATAAATTAACATTTACCTTAGATGGAATTACAGTGCTCTCTCTCTTTTTTTTTTTAACATTTTATTAGGGACTCATACAACTGTTATCCCAATCCATGAGCACCACACTTTTATGATGTATTCCATTCGAACACTAGTGATGACAGGTGGCATTAAATACCTGGCAATTTAGAATATCCCTTTCCCAACCAGAGCAGCAGAAACTGCACCTTCCTCCCCAGCCCACCCTCACTATAGAATTCATACGATGTTTGGTAGCTTTCCGGCCATTGGACAGAGATTATGTCGGCTCCCCCAAAATCAACAGAATAGTGGTTGAAAAACTCTTTGATGGTTACGGTATCAGGGAACCAAACCTAACTCACTGCCACTGAGCCAATCAGGACTCAGAGCGACCCAAAGGGCCAGAACAGAACAGTCTGTGTAGATTTCTGAGACTGTTCAATCTTTATGGGAGTAGAAAACTTCAGCGGCTGGGGGTTTCAAAGTACTGACCTTGCAGTTAGCAGCCCAATGCTTAACCCACTATTCTGACGGCTCCAGATCGGTGGGGAAAGGCTGGGCAAATCACTAACTAGCGGGGGAAGGCAATACAAAGATCAAACTATTTCTTAACCTTGTGGTGCCATGTCAATGTTTGGATATAGCAAGATAATAGAGACGTTTTTATAAATGTCCATCCCACCCTTGATCCACAACAAAAAAAGAAGTAACAATACAGGGATGGTCACTACACAAACGGACCTTGAAAACACTGCAGTCAGTGAGAGAAGCCACAAAAGGCCACATACCATGACTCCTATATGCAAAGTGTCGACCATAGGGAACTTGATCAAGACAAGAGCTTCTAGGGCTCGGGAGGTTGGGAGAAAATGGGGACTGAACCCTAACAGGCATGGAGGCGGTGAAATTGTTCTAAAATGGATGGTGATGCTGGTTTCAAATACAAGGGGCTATGAAAAGTTAGTAGAAAAATTGATTTAAAGGCAATGTCTTTCTCCACCAACTCTTGAAGCCACTTCAATTACTAAAACATCAGTGAATTGTGTTGTTGTTGTTTTTCGGTGCCACCGAGTCAGTTCCAACCCATAGTACCCCATGTATCACAGAGTGAGACACTCCCCGGTCCTGTGCTGTCCTGGTCTGAAACACACATGCACGCACACACGCACACTTCTCACTGAGTCAGAGACACCATCTCATGTTTACCTGCATTTTCCATAATTCTTGGCAGAAGAAAAGACGGCAGAACATGCTGTTTGCCACTAAGTACTGAGTAATCTCTATCAAAGAAGACAGTTTCTTCTGAAAAATAGATATTTAAGAAAACGTGATTATTAAATAGTCAAGTACATAGGATACTAGTAATGAAACACCCCATTTTCTGAACAGGTACTGATTAGCTCCTGTGTCCCCTCTGTGTTAGCACCTTACCCTTTGCTCGGCATCGAGCAGCTCAGTAGGTCGGGGCGGCCCGATGGCCTGACATATCGCCCCAATGCCACAGGCAGCCATCCTGGCTGACAGGATTCCCACTGGAACCCCCAGTGTGGAAGCTTGATCCTGCAAAGCTGAGCCTAAAACAGAAAAGATGACATTCTTTTTCTCTTAAAACATGCCGCTGTGTGCTACAAAATTAAAACACAAGACTTGAAGCTAAATATGACTTATTTTAATGAGTAGTGCCTGTGGATGGTAGTGGATTTTGGTGGTTAAAAAAAAAAAAAAATCATGGTAGAAAGGTACAAAATAACACCAATTTCTAGCCAGTTATTTCCACAAGAACCTTTATTTCTGCTTTTATTTACAAGGTACACTGTTAGCTTTTTGTAGAAATAGGAATAAGCATGGTTTATTCATAAGCCAATATCTTGCCAAATTAAGGAGTCTATTTATATTTCTGTGGCGAGGTCAAGAACTTCCCTAAGTGAAGTCAAACCATCTAGCAGGGGAACAACTAAGCCCACATTGAAGAAACACCTCAGCCTGTGTGATCACGAGGTGCTGACAGGAACAGGGAACAGAAGTTCAAAAACTGGAGAGGGAGGGAAAAAAAGGAGCTGATATCAAAGGGCTCAAGTAGAAAGACAATGTTTTGAAAATGATGATGGCAACATGTGTACAAGTTCATTTGATATAATTGATTTATGGCCTGTTATATTATCTGTAATAGCCCCAATAAAGTGACTGGGGAAAAAAAAAAAAGAACTTCCTTAAGTTCTTATTTCTTGATTGAAAAGCCCATACAAGAGTATGGTTGAGCGGAGCTTGGCTCCCTGCATAATTTGTGCAATACAAATAAAATTATGGTAATGAAAAGCCATTCACCAATGACCTTTAGTAATCAGTTGTCAAGGATGGCCTGCTACATAAATACAATTTATTACAAATCTACAACGAACGTGATAATTAAATAATGCTTCTTTCAGACATAAATCATTATGTGATAAAAAGAACTTCCGAGGGTCTTTCAGGCACTTGGGTGGGGTGGAACATAAGCACCTGGAAACATATCCTGGTTCTGGTTCCTGCCTGCCCCTCCTCTTCTTCACAATGTCCGTGAATGAGGTGTATCTTTTTGTTATTGTTCCACGTGCTCTGGGCCCATGCAGAGTAAAAATATTTTTGACCAATACCATCACAATGATTCAAAAACAACTCCAAAAATCGATTTTATAGTTCGTGTCCACAAAAGTTATTGTTGGTGGTGTCAGCCACTGTGTACAGAGTATAACCACTCCACAGGGTTTTCAAAGTTGTAACCTTTGGAAACAAATCACCAGGCCTTTCTTACTAGGTTGCTCCAGGAGAATCTGAACCATCAGTTTTGGGCTAGCTATTATTGGTGGAGTGCTTCAACATCTATGCCAACCAGGGACTTCATACACACATCAGTAGAAAATCATTAATTTTGGAGAATTAAAATTTCTAGATAAATCACGGTTGCTCTCTATAAAAAGCCCTCTCTAATCCCATATATCAGGAGAATGACCCTGTAACTCACCTATAAATGAATTAGAAGGACTTGTATGGCCCTCAGAACTGTCACAGTCCATCAATTTGCCGAGACACAATTTTTTACACTGTGGACCTTCTACCTAGAAAACAACACAAAGGGTTCCATTTTTTTGGAATTTTGTGTGAGCACAAAAGCACTGCTTGCCTCCTGGGCTCACTCACTGCCATGGGGTAAATTCTGACCCACAGTGATCCTGCTTAAGACAGTAGAGTTGCTGCATCGGGTGTTCAAGCCTCCATCTTTACAGTAGCAGACAGCCTCACCTCCCTCCCACGGAGTGGCCGGCGGCTTCAACCTGCTCATCTTCCGTTAGCAGCTCAAAGCAGAGCCCATATTTGGAGGAAGGCTTTAGAAAGTGAGACTTCCTGAGCCTTTTGGGAACTGTGAGTCACTTCATTTTCCAATTAATTTCTTTATCACTCCAAGTGATAGAGACTCCATTTTCCTCACATAGTCAACACTCAATGGATACATTCCAAGAATCTCTTTTATAAAGAGTATGCCTCCGCTGGATTGTGAAAGCCCATGTGTATAAGTCTGCCTTTAAAGGTTCTAGGTACCTCAAGCAGAAGGTCATCCAGGTTTTGACGGCTTCTCAGTAGGTGCACTGCTGCTTCCTGTAACTTCTGTCCCCTCTCAGGATTCAATTTTTGCCTTTTAACCCTTCCCGCTAAGTGGGGAGTAAAGGAAAACAGTAAGAATTACAGCACTCCTTAAACACTCAAGTACGAAGAAGTGGTGGCATCATGTAGCGCTGATACCATGCACCGAGGAGACACCTGGCTTGTGGGATGTTTCCCAAGAAGGCAGGGCCTCAGTCTAACCCAAGTGTGGAGTATCAAGGCGCAGAGATGGTGGGGGGCGGGTAATTTCCTCCTGCTGCTCATGGGAGGCAGAGCCGGTCGGAGCCCACTCCAGGGTACCTGAGGGCGCCTAACAAGGGTGTCAGGCCAGGGAGCCTGAGGGGACTCAGGACTTGCAGCAGAGAAGGGGCGAGAGGAAACGGGGACCCAAATGCGATCTCCGGCAACAGCGTCGATGGCAAGAGTTAGGCCGTCCAGTCACCTGAGCTCACAGGTCGGATAAAGCTTAGACCTGCAACTTGCGGGCGAGGTCTGACGGACGGGCCGTGGGCTCGGTTTGGGGTGGCTGCTACGAATGGGGTAGGGGCTCGAGGGCCGGCGCGAGCTGGGGGGCCCTCGGGTGGCGTTACGCCGGGCTGGGCGAGCAAGGCCCGGACGGCGGACGTTTGTGTGGGAAGGATTCTCGGGGCCCAGGAGGTGCTGCCACGCGCTTGGCAGAAAAGCGCCGGGCCCACCTACCCAGCAGCTCCGGCCAGGACTTCCTAAAGGCTCCAGGGCCCGTGTCCGAGACGGCCGCCGGCGCCCGCGAGCCCGACATGACGGTAGGCAGCCCCAGACGCAGGGGCGCGCGGCCCAAGCCCGCGCTGCGCTCCCATTGGCCGCGGCCGGGCGCGCGTGCCCATTGGCTGGGGCCGATCTACCACGCCCCTTGGGCGGAGGCCTCTCGCCCGGCTCTCTCGGTAGCGGCGTCCGGCGGCCATCTTGGTAGTGGCAGGCATGCGGTGTGTACGAGATCCTGAGATCGGAGGTGGCGGCCAGTATTCTAGAGGGCATCCCGTGAGAGAAAACGGGATTGTTTCCGTGGAGAGTGACCCCGAGAGGTCTTGAGGACACGACCTGAAACACCCAAGGGCACGCCGCTCCAAAACTATTCTCACAGAGACTAGCCACCGCGCTCACTGCGCGCTTGTCCCCGCGCGACCCCTCGGGGTTTGCCTTTCACGCCAGGTAACGCGCCTCTGCCCTCCACAAAGCTAAGCTGTCGGGAGAAAACACCTCTGCGAAAGAGACCCCCAAACAGGCGGGCCCCCTCCCGCCGGCCTGTGCCCAGCGTCCAGCCCCCACCACCGCGAACCCGCCTGCGGCCCGTGACGCCTGCCCAACGTCCAGGGACGGGCTTTGTCGGTGAAGAGGGACTTTCCGCAGGTCACAGCAAATAACTGGCACAAGGGTGAGGCCCCTCAGTCGGACTGGAGCGCGGGCCCAGCCTCGGGCCAGAGCGCTGACGGACGAGCCAGAACCACAACACCCCCCACCCCCTCTGAAAGGGGAGGCCTTTCCGACTCTGACCGTGCCCCGCAGCACACCGTACCCCGCTCTGACTTGAGGCCGCTCCCCACTGTGATAGGCTTGTCCCTGGATGGTGTAGGGCTCATGGCTTGCCTCCCATATAGCCCAAGGAGCAACCCTTGGGAGTAGAGACGCCCTGAAGGGGCTTGTGGCTTGTGGGAGGACTGAGAACCTATGTGCGCTGGGGCTCAGTGTGACAGAGGGATGACCATTCCCCCGCATCGCACAGACAGAGCCAGGTGGATGAGAGCTAGAAAAAACCCTGGTGAGAGCAAGGGCCTTGTAAATTTGACTCCAACTAGCACAGCATCCTCCCACTCCTGGCTGGGCGCCTGACATTGCCGGGACCCCACCGTGGAGCTGTCTGCTCCCACGCCCTCTGAGATGATTTCAAGAGGAAGGTTTCCTGCGTCTGGAGAAACACCTTTTCCATTTGTCCATGAGTCACTCAGAGAAAAGTCCTCCCAAGCTGCTGATGGGGATGGAGCCCTGATTGTCCTAATGATTTTAATTAACCATAAAATGAAACTTACTCATGTTCTTTTAACACTTGACAAATTCCAAAGGATAGATGTAATGGATCCCTCTTCAAAATCACTAAACTACATGCTCTAAGGAAGTGAAATTACTAAAATGCCTTAGAGCTTTCTCCACATGGAAGGAGGTTCCTCCACCAGTCCAAAAGGATGGAGACTGACTCGGAGAATTGCAGAACCCAGCCCCACCACCACAGGCAGCATTTTCTCTGCCCATTACCTAATGTCCTAAGCCTGTGATTTTTGAGCTGTTCTTGTATGACCAGGGAATGCCTACAGAGTACATTTCACATTTTGTGCACCAGTCCTCTGTTTCTATCCCTGGAGGTGCTTGTATTGATCTAATTATAAGAAAAGTTGACTGAAGGTGTTTTTTGGCCCAGGGTGGGGGGTGAGGTGACTTGTAATCAACAAAGTACTAGGTTTAAGAGAAGAAATAGAAATGGTAAGATTCCCTCCATGCAAAGTGCCCAGACTATTCGGAAAGGTACACCTTCTGTCCAGGGTTTCTCCATTTGTAAAGCCAGCCCAACAGAAGGCGTCTCAGTTTATAGGGCTACAATAACAAGATACCCTGAACAGGGTGGCTCATAAGGACAGGTAGGTTTTGTCTCAATTCTGGAGAGCAGAAGTCCCAATCAGTTTCAGGCATGAGGTTCTGAGAGAGGAACAGTTCCATGTCTCCTGGTTACTGGTGGCTGCCAGCAATGGTTCTTGTTCTCAGGCCTGTGTCTGCATCTCCCTCTATCACTTGGTAGCTGATCTGTCTGTCTCAGTGTGTCTTCTCTTTTATTAGGGCACCACACATAGGATTAGGACCCACTCTATGCCAGTATGAGCTCATGTGAAAGACCCCAAAGACCAAACCCATTGCTATTGAGCTGATTCTGATCCATAGGATAGAGTGGCCCTGCTCCATTAGGGTTCTAGCGCTGTAATACTCATGGAAACACTGCCACACCTCTGTCCTATGGAACAGCTGGAGGGCTCAAAGTCTCTGCAATTGAGCATTTCACCATGGTGCCACCAAGGCTCTTGACCTCCTGCTTACATCTTCAAAGTTCCTCTTTCCAAGCAAGGTCACATGTACAGTATTTGGAGCTAGGACTTCGACCCACCTTTTTTGACTTGAATAGTAGCTGCCCAGGAGTTGGTCTAAAAGAGCGAAGGTCCTGGTGATGTCTGCACAGGCTGAGGGGAATAAGTGAAAATAGAGAGCTTTGTGCTAGGACCAAGTGTTACCTTCAGTGCTGGAACCAGAGCCATGGACTGCTTAGACCCACAGGGAGATCTTCACCCTGAGATGCTAGCTCCCCTCCCTAGAGGACAGACTGACCTTACATTTTCTCATGATTCCACAGAATGGCAGTGCCCTACCTGCATGTGTGTGGCCATGCAGCAAATTGCCCAAGCCAACAGCTCCAACATGAACTTTCTAGAAGAACCGATTTCTCTGGAATCATGGGTGGATAACATCCACCACTTAAAATCACACTTAGAAGTTGCATTGTCCTAAATTCCTGGAGTGCAGTTTTTGAAGAGGGAGGTGGGAGGAGAGGTATGTGGGTACTGGCAGGATGGGGGAGAGTCTGCTTCTGAGATCCCGTTATAGTATCTGCTACTCGACCCAACTAGGAAAAAAAAACACAAAATACCTGGAGGCTGAAAGCTATGTGCACACACGCATGCTGTACACATAGGTATTTGGTGGAATTATTTGTCAGTGGCAGAGAGGAGGAGGACTGCAGTGTTAGCAGTACCAGTAGACAGATTCCCTGAGATGATGAAGAGACGGTAGGGGATTCAAGAAATTCTCAGAATGGCCAAGGTCCTTGGCTCGCTCTGAATGAGGGTAAGGGAGCCTGGACACTGGCCCTTCTCTCCCTTCTGTTCTGCATCCTAACGAAGTGGCTGCCAGTGCAAGAGACTGGGAGCCAGAAGGGGGAAGGAGGGCTTGTGTGATCATGAGAGTGAGAGTGTTGTTGCTGGCAGTGGGGCCCTTTACATGTCAGAGACTGAGATAGTTTATTGTGCCAGCCTGGCCGATAAACACAAGTGGGATTAACTGAAGGACAGAGAGATAAGTGGCTTGGTGAGTCTCGCCTTTCTTGTCTCTCGCTCTTTGATCATCGGAGCAGTGTGCGGCTGCCTTTCTTGTCCTGTGCCTCAATTTAAAAGGCTACACTACCTGTGGGATGCCTAGCCTGTGGACTGTGTCGCTGTAAGTTGAGGTCCCTTTAAGAAATCGCTGGAGCTGAGGACTGGCAGTTGGTGACCTGGCTGGCAGTTGGTGACCTGCCTTCTGATTGGCTGCTGTGCTGACATAGCCTCGCTCTCTCTATAAATAGAGGAAGATCTGGCAGCAGATTGGACTGGAAGGACTGCTAGTCTCTCACATCTCTCTCACGGCAGTGAGTTGAATTGAGCCATTTGTAGTGGGGTTTTTTTTAATTTAACTGTTTCTTGTATTATATATTTAACTGTATATGATTTAACAGTTCATTCCTTGTTATATATCTACTTATCTTTATAAATAAATATATTAAATTATCAGCAATTTGATTTTATCTCTCTAGAGAACCCTGTCTAACACAGAGACAGACATCTAGGAAGTTCTAAAAAGGCATAGAGACAAGTTGGCATAGGAAACATTCGACAAATATCCAATACTGTGGGTCAGGGGCCATATTGAGGACTGGAGCTCAGTCTACACACTCTTTGGCGACCAGGACTGGCACAGGGACAGAAGGTGATCTGGCTGTGATTCTAATGTGAACCGATTTCTCAGTCTCAACAGCAACCCAGACAGCAGAACCCTACCAGCCCACCAACAAAATTCAGACCACTGAAGTATTATGCAGTCATCACCACGATCTAATCTTTCCTAACAAAAACCTATACATTTCAAATCAATTTCCTTAAATCCCTTAACAGCAAATTGCCTGGCATCTAAGGAAAGATGTCCCCTCCAAGAAGAAGAGGCAACGAAGGCACTGGTTCATCTGGAGTAGAATACAGAGGGAGGAGGAGATGGCAGGTGACACATGAGGTGAATTCAAAATGTTCATGGAGAAACTACTCCGGTGCATTTTTAAACACATTACTAAAGGCAAGTGTGGCTTAAAGCGAGAGTCTCCATGGGAGCCACAAATGCACAACCAGTTCCTGCCTGCTCTCACGTTTGCTTCACACCCTTCAAGAACTCACAAGAAGGGCTAGGAGCAGGAGGAGGCACCTGAGCAAAGCTCCCCAGCATTCATACCTGGAGAAGGGAACCTTCTAGCATGAGGCCCATTGGGCCCTTCTATGAGAGGGAAGGCTTATTAAGTCATGGGGTGGGGGCAGCAAACCCTGGAGCATTGAGAGACTCATCTTGATCCCTGACCATTAGAGGTCTCCACTGGTTCCAATTCTGAGAATTCATACTGCACACACACACCCAGGATGAGTATGTGCCAGGCAATATAAAAGGTTCTTAGGCATAACAGTGATTAAGGAAACAGAATCCCTGCCCCCATGGAATTTGAATATTTACAAATTCAAGACAGGAAACAACTACATAGCCACCAACTAAAAATCAAAGACCTCACTGCTAAGGAAACCTGGTGCACCCACCCTCGGTGCAGTGAATGATTTAATATGGCCCTTCTAGCCATAGGCTTTCTAATGCCCACTAGATGACTGGGTAGGACTATGCAAGTAGGGAATTAGA